AAATTCATATAAAAAAAATTTTTTTTTTTAATGTTACGATATGATGCGAGTCGCAAAAGTCTATGACGCGAGCCGCGGTTTGGCCACCCCTGGTATATATTATGGTCTGAAAAAGTATTGCATGACAAAGTGTTATTGTATGTCACAGACGCCGCTCCTTATATGGTAAAATCTGGACATGCGCTTAAGGTATTTTATCCTAAACTAATCCATATTACTTGTATGGCCCATGGGCTTCATAGATTATCAGAAGCTATTAGGGATGAATTCTCAAATGTTGATTTGTTGATATCTAACACAAAAAAAGTTTTTTTTAAATCACCTAGTCGTGTAGGTACTTTTAAAGAAAAATGTCCAAACTTAAGTTTACCCCCACAACCTATTATTACTTTTATTACATTATTTTACAACTTATTATTAATTTTTCAATTTGATAATTTAAAAGCACATTTTGTTACATAATGTTGGTATTCTTTCAATAATTAATACAAATTTTTATGCTTAATACACATTTTAAAAAATGATATTTAAATTGTATTTTTTTTTCACTTAATACTATATTTTTTAATTTTTTTTTTAAATTTTGTATTTTTAAACAATACATTTTTTTGCATATTATTTGCATATTTTTGAATTTTTGAGTGCATATATATGTGCATATTTAACAAACATTTTTGCATAAAAATCCTGGCCCTATTCATTAGTAAAGTAAGTAATAATTATTGGTATAAAAAAGAATGTTTAAAAGAAAAAATAATGTAAATAAATAATAATATTTCAAAAGAGCACGAGCGTTTCTAAGACAATAATAGTTAAGTCCAGAAGATTTCGTAATATAATATATTAATATTGAATTGTTTGGATTGGGTCAACCTAGCACTTTTCACATGATATTGATTAATAAGAGTTTAATTATATATTAATATTATACAATTCAAAGACTACAATATTTTTTTTTTTTTTTTTTTTTTTTTTTTATTAAAATACATCTACAATCTATACAGTTAATAGTATAATAATTAGATTTGATAAAGGAATATAAAATTAACAGTGAAATAATATGATTGGGAAGTTATCCATTGATAACACCCAGCACGTGATAATATATTAACTTAATATTAATATAAATATGAGTTGAAGACTTATAAGGTACAATAGTTAGTTTAACGTTTCTGGCGATTAAAAATATTTTAATTTAAATTAATTATGAGATAATAAAGGTAATGCACTATGTAACAGGCTGTTTATTTAGAACAGCTGTAAGGAGCGTGATGAGGGGAGAGATTAGAGAGGAAAGTTCAGATAAGAATTTTGTTAGTGGGTTATCGATTGTGTGAACATTGGGTAATGGTATATTTTTAGAATTAGTAGCGGATGCGTAAGAAGTTTTGGGAGGGAGAGGGGGAGTTTGGAGATGAAAAGAAGTGAGTACCGGATTCGGATTCTGTTGTTTTGAATGAGTGGTTCTGCTTCGTTTGAGAAGAGATTTGTATATTTGACATCCTTTGTAGTTGGAAGTGTGATTGCCCATGCATAGCCGCATAGGGAGCACTTAGCTGGGCTGGTTTTGGGTTTGATGCAGTCGTCGGTGTGGTGGTCGCCCCCACATTTGACACACCGTGAAGGATGGTGACAATAGTTCGCAGTGTGACCATAGTTCTGGCAGTTACGGCACTGAGGTGGACCACTCTTGGTCCTGTATGGAAATTCGACTTTGATATATGTGTGCAAAATAGTAGACAAGTTTAGGATTTCTTTATTGTTGGTGTTGGGTTTTAACTCCACAAGAAAAAGTGGGCATGGGTGACCATTTTTTTTGACGTTTGTGACACGGCTGGTGTGGTGACCTAACTCCGAGAGTGCATCAGATATATCGGGGATGAGTGTAGTGTGGTCCAAGTTTCTGATAATGACCTTGTAGGGTCGACGTGTTGGAGGCATAAAAGTATGAAAAAAGGCACTGGTGTTCTTTAGATGGTCAATGATTAAGTTAAACATGATACGTCCGTGAGGACGAATAATCAAAAAGGAAGACGTGGACTTGCAAGAAAAACCGTTTTGGCCGGTGATTTGAACTAACGCGTTTTTAAATGCGGAGAAGTTGGTGATGTTTTGAACGTATATTGGCGGAGCCCTGTTGTTGACCTGGTTATGATGAAGTGTAGACTCGTTGGTTATATTAGAAATAACATTAGAGGTGTCGTGTTGGATTTCGATGTCCTCTTCGGTAGCTAGGACAGCGAATTTATTTGGCGAAACAAATGACTTAGTTTTTTTCCCCATTTGAATAGGTGAATTTGGAGAAGATGGCAGCGACCGTTTGGATATAAAAATGTTCGGAGAGGTAGTGTTATTCATATTGGAATGAAAACGTGTTCAACGGAGTGAAACCCGAGAACTGTTAACTGTTTACATACTGAAACGCGATAACGGAGCGAATATAACCGTACAACGTGCGGTCGCGTTGCAGGTCAACAGCGAACTGACTACAATATTTAATAATATTACATAATGCTAACTGCAATGTACAATAACTGCACTGTTGCAGTTATTATTATTATTTATTTTACAACTGTCAACCTATGTTTTGCTAATGAATAGCAACCCACCCCTGTAAATGTTTAATCTATTTACAAGATGATATAATTGCTGTTGAGTGCAATAAATGAATAATATGATAATTTTTGCATATCAAAGGATTTATCCAATTGTCTATGGATTTAAGACTGTACTTATATTAATTCCATGCATATGCAATGATAACATTTGCGTTCGTGGTAGGTAGGTACAATAACATCATATTTACCTGCCGTCTACCGCACAATTTTTCTTTGTTTCTTATTTTTTTTTATTCAAAGTTTACTATAAATCACGAGTGAGGTAAATTGTATTTATGTAGCCACTTGACCATGTACTGGTAGCGGTTACGTATAGGTACCTACTTGTGACATGAAGAGCGCAGACTTTTAATGGGGATAACATTATAACAATATTCCATTGAACATTTGCACACTCCGTCCTCGTGATAAACGTACAGATAGGTACCTGACCAGTGACCACAGTCCTCATCCGTGTTCCCGTTTTTATTTCCAACACAGACATTATATTGTATTATTTCATTATACTATTATAATATCATTTGACGTTTGAGTTTGAGAGATAGGTACTTCTACCTAAATAATTGTATATAGTGATAAATTTTACGAAAAATATTACATAGGTAATATTTGAAGAAATTTATTATTACTATAATGTTTTGAACGTCATGAGAATATTTTAACATAAAGTACATAACCTTTGTAATAGAATAATAATAAATGAAATACGAATTTTAATCAAATAGGAGTACGCGTTCAAATTATATAGGTACATAGGCGGTAGGTATTACGTTATAACGACTTTACCTATAAATTAAACTTGTTGGGTGCACCACCTAGGCAAATATCGGAGTTTATTTAGTCACGATCTATATTAATATTATATTATATATTTATATCATCAGAAGAAAAACCAAGTTCGGAAGAAAGGAAATTACTATTTAGACCAGTTCCAACAATTATATAAAAAGTAGGTAGGTATTATAAGTAATAATGGTTCATTGATACGCAGTAAAATATCTAACTTCGTACGCATCCCCCTAACATTTAGAAATAAGCTTTCGATTTGTTTAATATTTATATTTAAAATTAGATCAATTCCGGTAATTCACGAAATTTCCAACAATTCATAATGTACTCTGTATTAAATGTGCTTCACCGGAAGTAAAATCCTTGGACCGCCTATGGCTTAATATTATGGATAAGTACCTAGGTACCCTAACCCTATAGTTTTTGAATTACAGTATAATGAACTAAATAGGTACCTACGATTTTTTTGGATGTACTCTTCTAATATAATATATTATAATATAGATGTGAGTGTGATATGACAAATTAATAGGCACTAGGCAGGTACCTATCTATAATGATTATTCACCCTCAAATTTAGACATCTACCCATACGCGATAAGTTTGATTAGAATATTGAAATGTTGTGTTTTCAATGACGGACTTCATTTGTCATATTATAATAATATATAGATAATAATGATATTGTGTACCTACTGCAGTGTAGGTATATTGTATATATTATATAGACTCGCATGGTGGTATAGAATGTTATTAATTTTACGACAAATTCTGAATTAATAACTTATATTTGTTTTGATCATTGACTCTTGCTCGAATAAAATATTATCATTTATCACGTAGGGTTAAAATAACCAATAGGTTAGTAGGTTACATAGGTGCCCATGACACTAAACCCACCTACTATAATGAGTAATAATCGACTAAATTAATAATATTGATGATTTAATATAGGTAACAATAAAATTAGAGAAAGAAAAAGATTCAAGACTTATTTTGTACACATAAAAAACATAACAATATTAATATTATTAAATAAATACGTAGGTACCTATATTAATACATAATAATATAATATATAAAACTTGTGATTTGTGAGATACAGAATTAAAGCCTACAGCGCGGGCGCCTATCCAAAAATAATTTTGAACTTCTTATACCTACCGAGGCTGGAAGTACAGATACATTTTGTATTTTTGTTTGCAAACAACAGTATTTAAACAAAAAAATTTTAAGTCAACACAAATCACGTTAGTCTTATTGCGATTGTTTGTATTATTATTTCAGTACCAACTTATTTGACGGTTTATTTACATGACGAATTTTGTTTTATTGTTTAAACATGTCTTTAAAATATTAAATTGTAATCCGCTAATATTGTCAAATACGATTTAAGATATTTTCTGTAGACAATTGCTTATTACAATACCGCATCATACCACTATTGTTATATATACCTTATTATATAAAATTATGCGTATAGTTAACACGATATTGACAGTTAATTACATTATACCATAAACAATATACAAACTTTACATACTTATGGTACCCTGTTTTTCATGAAAAATAACGTATCGTTCTGATAAACGCTCATGATGATTTGGATAACAGTATTCCGCATAAGACAATGCAATAAAAAATTACCACAGGCTTAGGATTGATCGGCACACAGTTATTTTTGCCTTCTCTATTAGACGTAGACCCTGTAAACACAAAATTATGGTTTATATGTAAAAAAAAATAGGGTGTAAATATGTACGATATTTAAGGGGTTCGATTGAAGCAGTCTGTGTATAATAAACAAAATTAGATTTAAGTAAAAAATAAACATTGATTTTCACGTCATCACTAAATTTGTTCGAAACATCTCGCCGTGTTTACAAAATTGGAAGTTATTTTAATGATGACTGCAGAATAAAGGATACTTCTATAAAATAGTTCATCGTGCACTAAACAATCGACGTTTAAAAATAATTACATATGGGCCCAGGGCTCGTAAGTTTATGCATCTGCATGTTTTCTTTGCCACACATGAAAACATGCTAACTGAGATACAAATCTGTTTCATAACAATAGTAATAATAATATGAAGTTTGATAGTGCATGTTTTTGCATGTTTTGGGTGTAAAGTCATATTTGGCATATAGTTGATTTTTTACAGTCGTTAGTGCATATTATTTCATAAAAATATTTTTTAGACAAATATTTGAAAAATTTCTTCCGATTTTTGATATCTTGTTCCAATCGTCCAATATCGCATGGTAAATTATAACGGTTTTTTAAATTTTTTATTGAGTAGATATTTATCTAATTAATAAAAATATCGAAAATCAGGCTCCTCAAGAATTGTAAAAAAAGTTCTACTTTACAATTTTTATAATAGGTATTTTTACTGTAAACCACTTCAATAAGCCGTATTACTTGAATTACGAAACCATGGTTTTATGAAATATTTTGTCTACTAATGCGCCCTCTTGTTGGAAAACATAAAAAAAACACTTATAAAATATATATTACTAAATTATCTCAAAATGAAAAACCTAATATTTCATTCCAAATGTTTTCATTGTTGGTGCTGAATAAGGGTGTACACAAATTAGACAAAATTGACTACCTAATTAAAATTTATAAAGATGACAAAGCTATTTGAACTTCACAAGTATTAATTTTATTTTTTATGTTATTAATTTTGACTGTTAAATATATAAAAATTAAAAGGAATAAAATACTTTTAAAATGTATGGATTTATTCTTATTATTTTAAAATTTGGTCATGTTTTTTTTACATAATGCATATTTTGAGTGCATAATTTAAAAATGTTAATGCATATAAATGCATATTTTTGAACTTTTAAGTGCATATTTTAATGCATATTTTGACAATTTTTAGTGCATGGATGCATGCTTATTTATGCATTTTTTAGTGCATGAAGTTACGAGCCCTGCGATATGGCCAATATAAAAAAATTCTATTTTTTTCGTTTTTTATATCCATAGATTCGTGATTTTAAAACGCGTGTAATTCGTTCTGAGATTACAATGACATGTTCACTGTGAAAAATCAAAATCTCACCATGGTCTATGTATAAAATCGTTTGTTATCATGGGTTTTGCCGTTTTGGGCCATCTAAATTGCTGACATTGGTGCTAATATTACGGTAGGTATCAAGGTTTGTAAGTTAATATTATAATTTTTCAAAGGTTGCAATAGTGCATACTTTCAAAATCCCTAACAATGAAACACTTTTTTGTTAGGTACTCCTAAAAAGTTGGGAAACTTGTTTGAAATACATCCGACAAAATTTGTTAATAATATTTGCTATTTGATTATTCGAACCATTTATTATTTAGAATACCTACCTATTACGACTACCTACCTTATACTCCACTACCTTATACACGCTGTGTGTACCTTATAAAGTTTCGTTTTTTGACAACTGCAGATTGGCGTATATGTTATAGGTAGTACAAGTTAGGACGTATGAGGTAGGTACTTATTTATTTACTATAGTTACTGTATTGAAAGTGCAAGTTTGAGAAGATGTTTAAGTATATTAGATTTTGTTGTCTTCTTATGGGACCGTAAATATCTAGACACGCGGTAGCGTGTCAAGCCAAGTTCTAGCTAACAGAACTGGCGAGCAGCACCGTGAGTAATATTACACGAACCATTTGGAGCCACTTTTGACCCCCTCATAACTCAAAAACTATTCCACATAATTACATAAACATGTCAAATTTGGCTCATATATTGAGACTAACGAGATACATATGTGCTCTAAATTTCATAAACACACTTCAAACCGTTATTTAGATATTAACGTCCGAAAATCGTAATTTTTATCACTGACTGACCTATAGATCAAAATTCTAACCCAGTTCCAGATGACCAAGAAAGTTCAAATTTGGCATACAGATAGGTAGTTAGGTAAATACAAAGGAAAAAATCAGAAACTTGAAAATTTTTTAATTTTTAATTTTAAATTTTTTAATCAATTGATTTTATTATAATTTTGCAATTATTTTATCTATTATGTTTAATTTTTCAATTAATTAATGAATTGCCTCTAATTTAATGTAATGTAATGTAATGTTGACTTAAATAACCTTTCCCGTATCGCCGCTCCAAAAATACGACTAGCCGAATATGTGTCGATATTGTCGACCCGCGCGCAGCAACATACTTTTTTTCTATCTATGTATGTAATTAATATTATTTTTTTTAAATATTACAATATTAAAATGATAGCCAAGTTCAATTATGTAGTATATGCTTTGATTGTTGACTTCAACGACAAAAGAAGTGAGATCTAAATGGATGCCAAGTTCAATGGTCAGTCCTGAAATGTATTTATAACAACATGAAATATAATTTCTTCTTATCACTTAGGATAATGTTTTGAAGCCTAAGGTCTGACTTGGCTGGTTTCTATATACGAATTATGTTATTGCCTTCGCAAGTTATAAAAAGTTGGGAGTTCTTTTTTATTCTTCTAAAAATTTGGCTTGCTATTAGAAACTAGCTATCGAAAATAGTGCTCTTCCATGACTGTTTTAGTAGGTACTTGATGATAATTCGTAAAATATAGAAACTAGCCAAGTCAGACCTTAGGCTTCAAAACATTATCTTAAGTGATAAGAAGAAATTATATTTCATATTGTTATAAATACATTTCAGGACTGACCATTGAACTTGGCATCCATTTAGATCTCACTTCTTTTGTCGTTGAAGTCAACAATCAAAGCATATATTACATAATTGAACTTGGCTATCATTTTACATATATGTTTTGTTGGGATAGTTAATAAACAGAATATACAGTAGAAGCCGTTTATTAGGAACACATTTGGACCTAGGTGAAATGTGTCAATTAACCGATTGTATCAATTATCCGTGTTCCTAATAAGCCGCTTCTACTGTGTGATGTTTTTAAAAAATAAACCAAAAATTAATTACCTATACATTTTGTCAAGATTGTACGGAAGACAGTCGGTAAATATACTTATGAGTTATGATTTATGACAATGTTTTATGCCTTTATTAGGTACCTACTTTAGTACTACTTATTATACCTGTAATATTATGCTGCAGGCCGTTATTTGAAGCCGTCACGGACGTCTGATAATTATTGTTCCAGTTTTTTCCTGGTAATTCTATTCAAAAAAACATTTAGGTTTATACAATTATTATATTGGTTTGTTTTAGTATGTTATATTACTATAAACTTTGATAGTCCCGTCCGTTGCGCCTAAAGAGTTTTTCGAAACACAATGGCACGTGCCGAAATGTTCTTCTTTTACTTGATTAATGGTTAATCTCATTTCTGTTTTATAATTGACTTCTTTTAACGTTGTATCGTAATTATCTCCTGCAATAGACAATTTTAACATTCAAATACATATTTATGCAGGTGGATATCTAACAACATATTAAAATAAAAGAAGTCATAGTCACAAAAATCAGGATAGATTACCTAAATATTTTACTATTTTAAAAACTACTTAGGTACAAATAAGTTTATTAACGATAGTAGTTAAACTAACAATTTAATAAAACTATAAATAGGTAACGCACTAAAATATAATAAATTAATAAAACTAATTTATAAACCTGTTGTTATATTTTTTATTATAGTATCTAATATAGTTATCTGCTATAGCCTATAGGTCAGCATTATTGGAGATGAAACTGTTATTTTATAGGTATATTTTTTGTAATTCAATTTGCATTGTAATCTGTGACATTTTAAAATCTTAAAGATAATAGTGAAACTAATTTGGGCCAATCAAATAAATATTTACAAAATATCTAAATGAAATGGTGAATGGTAAATAATACCATGCTTAAAAAACACATTTAATGCAAATTTAGATAGAATTTTTTTTTTGTAAACACTTATTTTTTATTTAGTTATAAAACCAACTTTTATTAGTTTGGCAATCATATTATAATAATCTATATTCAGTTCTTAATAATGAATTAGTTTTACTATGTACCTATAGCAGAATAATGATTATATCTATGATAAAACGTTAAAACCTGTAGGTATAAATTATATATCTACCTTGAGTCAGTAAGTTTCTGTTTTCTGACGACCAATAATTTATGGACTTCGGGAATGCTTCGACGTGACATTCTATTGACAATCGATCTCCCACAAAATCACCGACCAGTTGATTTTGAATCCAAACCATGGGAGCGACTGCAAAATATCGCGAGTAATTGTAAGTACAAATTAATTGAGTTGGACCAGTATTATAATATTATGGTCATATCGTATGGCAGGCGCGTCCCTGAGGGGGGGCGATAGCCCCTCCCGTAAGACGTGTAATTTTCTGTTTTTGTACGATATTACATCAAACAAATAGGTTTAAATATTTTGTTTATCAAAGTGGTATTTAAGAGTATACCCCCCCCCCCCCAATGGAATTGACCTGAAGACGCCCCTGTCGTATGGATTATTTTCAAATGTCGAGACTTACAGTGGACGATCAGAGTAATGCGCTTGCTGACTGTCGGTGGCACGCCATTGGAAGCAATGCAAAGATATGAACCCATGTGTTGTCTTGTCACACGGTGAAAGGTAAGCGTGGAGCTATCCACTACTGCAACTGTACAGACAATAGGAAAAATTAATATGCATCGTCTGCTGGTTAGGTCCCACTAGTCAATCAATTGTTTTATTGATACAATATAGATACGTATTATTAATATTTAATAGGTACCTAGGTACTAGGTAGTATAATAATATTTTTCTGTATCAGTTACCGTACCGCATTGTTGTTGTTTTTACTACTATATTACGTTATGGGAACATACTATACATTCAAATATTAAATCTTATATTTACACACTTGCAGTATATAGCTGAAATTATTTTACCTATACTGATAAACTATATGAGTAGGTATAGGTACAAAACATTTGATATATATATTTTTTTTAAATGATTATAATAATGATAATAATATATAATTATACAATTATATATAATTATTATAATATAATAATGAGTACTATTTAATATAATTTGAGGAGTATAGGGTTATTATTTATAACAAATATATCACATATTATAGCAACCCTGAGCCCGGAGATAAATCAATAACAAATTGTATTAATAAATTATACTAACTAATATCAGGATACGCATATACATACTGCGTCACTGCATAAAGTACATAGGTGCCTAGCTATAATAATATGATGCATACATTGAGAATTATTACTTGTTTTTAAATATTTATGATATAACTATTCCACATACCAAGCGTGTATTGTATTTTTATTAATGGGAATTGTTTGTATTTAAATGACATTGCAGTATAATGTATTAATGTATAATATAATTGATGTTTCATATTACCCTATTTTATTGGTGTACAAAATTCAAAGTTTTGATTGAAAAATTAATTTGTGTTCTTCCGATGTTTAACTGTTGACAGCTTTTCAATAAAAATAAAATATTGATTTAGGGCTATTATTTTATTACTTGAAATAATGTGACATTTCACATTACTCGGTATAGATTTAATTTTGATTTGTCCATTAGTCAAAACAAATATGTAAATAATATACGGACAATATTCGTTTTATTTATTAAATAAATCTATTTTCGAATTATACGGATATGTTTGCCTTTATTAGGTAAGTATTATAGGTACTGTGGAAATAATAAAAATGTTACAATTTTAATATTAAATGCTGATAATAACTATTATAACGTATACAGAATTCAAAACTCGAAAATGCATTTAGTTTGTGTATAAACTGTACATATATCATATAATAATATTGGAAATTTACTGGTAAATTAATATTATTTAATCTATACTATATTTTGTAGTTATCTACAGTAGTTAAGTTTATTAAAATCAATTGATCGGATGTGGTTTTTGCTGTATGGAAATTAAAAATTTACAATTAAAATTAAAATTACATCTTCTAAGTTACAAAAACAGTAGTAAATATTACCTTACTACTTAGGTGTAACAAGTATATTCTAGTAAAAATAGTATTCCAGTAAAGATATCCAGATAGGTATAACGTATATTAAACTAGAATTTTATTATTATTAATAAATGTTTAACTATACCTAAATTTGACATTTTATAATTATAAAATGTAATCACACATTAAGTTTGTTTAAAGTTTTCTGATTTGATAATACTATCACAATTGTTTCATTTTAATGCTGCTATTTACTTCACTCAAACTTTCAAATACATACATGCACTGCATACTAAACTAAATGTCTAAATTCCATTTATTATTTAATAACTTTTATAAATAAACTTTTGAGTAGAAATCTTATAGTTACATAATTACAAAGTACCTACTTGTTCTGGTTCAACGCTTAAACAATATACCTACGACCTACCTAGTCTAAATTTACCAGTTAACGTGTTAGAAATCACGATGTTATGGTTGCCTTCTCTTCGCCATGTGATTGTTGGACTTGGGTATCCTGTAGCGGCACATTGTAACGTCACGTTACTACCTTCATGCACTACCATGTCTGAACTAGTTGGGTAGTCTAAAATATCTGGAGACACTCCATATATTATAATATTTAGTTAATAATATTGTTAATACGCGTGTATTTTAATATTTTTTAAATATATGTATAGACGCATTACTTAGAAGGTTAAAAAATTAAATGGTAGGTATTTTATTCGTTGGGTTTTTTATTGCAGTCAGTTAATATAGGTACAAGTATAATTAGAATTGCAGCGTATTAATAATAAACAACATCCGAAACTCAACAGTTAATAACTAGGTAGGAAAACACCTGCTATCACGATGTACAGAAAAATAAATCAAGAATAATTAACGCATATAATTGGTCCTGGGAATTACCTTTGGGTTGTTTGGGAGGTGCTTGTAATGACTTTTGGTTTCAAATGGAAAAATCTTAAGTAAACACTATAGGTACATGACGTGCCATATGGCACGCATATTATATTCAACGATGTCACGGAACTGTATAGTTATAAATGCATAACCATGGTACCTAATATAATGATGTGACGTTTTACATGATGTCAGGATGGGTTTTTAAGATTTAATAATTTGTAATAATGAAATAACGAAAATTTCAACCGTCTCAACTTTGCATTAACGCGACAATAATAATTATTATCTTCGTTCATAATACGATTTTAGATTAGTTTTTAACGTCATAATTTGTTAATTGTTTTGATTTGATTGAATTTTTTTCATTTTTGCATCTACAGTAACAACGATTTCCAAACAATTTGTCCAATTTATACCACCTCAAAATTTGAAATCAGAAATGATACGTAGTATTAAAAGATTGTTGATAAATTATTGTTTGTTATAAATGGATATTAAAAAAAAAAATATAATACATTTAAAGAATAATATTGCATGGTATTCGTTGAAACGGGTACTATATAATAATATACATGCATAAAATATAATTTAGCGGTTTAGGTACATAGTATTAATTAGTAATATTTAAAACTACATATTTTATTGTTAGGGTGTATAATAATATTAATGGATATTATATACCCATTTGAATAGGCCGTAAATCATAATGCATACATTGGGAGACGTAAGTCCCACACGTGTTTCTGAGGTCAGAGTAATTTTTGCAATCCCTAAAAATCTTTCCAACATATGCCACTGGGAGTCTTTTACATATCATATAGTCATATAGAGACGGAATTTGCCAGGGGAGGACATATCGAATTTAATATGACTATTTATTTTATTTTTATTTTATTAATTCAAACGGGCAAAGCCCAGTAACAGTTTTAAATATAATGACAATATAACATAGACTTGCAAATTTTACTTTTGATTCTAATTTATAAACATGAAACGTATTCGATTTAACTTACCGACTACGCGTCGAGATACGCGATTTGATTCTTCATGGGCTCCGTATTTATCTGGCACATGTAAAACCCACGGTCGCTCTGCCGTACGTTTCTGATGTGCAGCCTCCACGGCTCCACGCCCTGTGGTCCGTGTGGGTCATCTCCATCCGGTCGTTTTTCGTCACCACGAGTGTCTGTATGGACAGTATCGTCTGTGTATCCACTCTCAGCCAGGCGACTGTGTGCAGCACAACAAAGATAACGTAGTAGTAAGCACTTATAGATTGAAGCATATTATGATATAGCGAATACAAATCTCGGTGACTTTTTCAAACATCTTTCTCTCCTATTCTTTAACAAAAAAACCTTTTTTTCACAGAATGTTCTCTTCTGAATAACTTGTAATAACTAATAGGTAACAAATTACAAAACAAGTAGATAATATAGGTAGATATACTTCAATAGTACAATTATTCACCAATGGCTTAATATTATAATTATTAACAAGAATAAACATAATGGTTAAAATATTATAATAGAGTACAATAAAATTAATAATTTAACTCACTTTTCAGTTAAAGCAAACCAATTTTGTGTTTCAATTTACACAACTGTAAAAAATATCATTCTCGACGTTCGTTATGGCAGTAAAACATTTTGGATTCAATATGTTTACAATAATTTGGGGGTAGCTAAGTCCCCAAAGTCTCCACCCCCTATTTGCGCCCGGCATGTGCATACCTAGGTACATATTATAATATTTAGTTGGTCTGCGGGGCAAGCGTTCGCGTGCAAAACGTTCATTCTATAAATACTGCCACACATATAATGGGTACAATCACATTTACATCAATATGTATAATATGTAATGTGTAAATGTGTACCTACCTATATAGTACAACTATTAAGTATTATGTATAAATACACGTTGCAGTGTAAACCGTATATATCTACGTGGCGCCGCCGGGTATATCAACATTCAACAGCCATTATAAGCGTGAAATAATTATTATATTACACGCAAAACTCTTCGTCGTATAGCAGGTATATAACAATAATAATAAGTATTGGATTTCAATAATTGACACAACCACAGCAGCAACAGACTCTGTATAATAAGCAGTTATAATATGTATAATATTATGTTTACACACTTCATACACCGACTGCAGAGATTTCGTTCGAGAAGTAAACGTTTACGCTCCGTCGACTAGCACTTATATGTCACTCTTATTATATTCTATGTCGTGTATAGTACTTGTGTGTATATACTGTGTACCTATACACGATTGAATTATCGGTAATAATTATAATATAACTAGTGCTAAGAAAATTATTTCCTAGTACAAAAAAAAAAAAAAAAAAATTCTGGCAAATATCGGTGCCGATATAGTTTTACATAGTACGCCTTTTTATACATTTTTATTCTGTCTACCGAGACACACAGTACCCAAACCTCTTAAGGTGGGTACACACTGGAGCATTTTGGTGTAATGTGTAACGGGCTGTGACTACGTACATATTATAATAGTAATAATATATAAAATATTATATTATATTATGCTGTATTAAGTATAATACGCTTATAATATAATATATTATATTCAATAACAGATATAAATGCTGCAGGGGGCACGTAACCCGATAATAGTAATAATATAAGCGTCCGGGCAGCCACATCGATAAGAGTACCGAACTAATTAATAGTACAGCGCAATAGGTATACGCGCGCATTATCCATATTCTAGGAAAGACGAAAAAGCCGTAAATAACAAAAATAGATAACTTTGAAAACATATAATCCCAATTAACATTATTTCGTAGAGGACGCCGAAATGACGTCAGGTGTACGCGGCTATGTACCATTTTTATACTAAAAATGCCATAGGAGGGATCTAATAGGAAAACCGACGAAATACGTCGATGGACAAGTGTCCATCAGACGAACACCAGCCAAGACGACGAGCACTAGCAGAACAGCCACAAGTCGATACTAAGTCACAACCCGTTTACCACAATTTTATAATTTAATTATTTGGACTTAGAATATTTTTCGTGTTAAATAAATACAAATAAACTATCATTATACCAACAACTTGTCATTTTAATTCAAAATACCATCAATATTGAGTTGAAGTGGTTGGCACGTTAAGGTGGGTACACACTGGAGCATTTTGGTGTAATGTAACGCCGTAATGTAACTGTAATGCTCAAGTGTGTACGGTGTTACTGTATCATTCGTGCGCGCTCGGCTAGCGACGCCGTCGATCCATCCGAGTGTCGGTATTTTGACGAACATCAAAGGAATGTTACATTACAATTCGCTGCTAGTGTGTACGGTATCGTCCAGTGCCGTGTAACACAGTGGTGGCGCCAAGACTTTTGGGTGAACCAATCCTAGGCCACTGGCCACTGATTTATAAGGAGGGCCAGTGGCGTACGGCCAATATGGTCATTAATAAGCGTGATTCGAATTGCCAGGTCGCCAGGACAATTTTAAACCCCCAATAACCCCTCCCCTGTTTGGTCATTGCATAGCATCAGTAAAATACAAAATTAGATATTTGCTTCACACTTCCTTCCAAAATCGTACTCAGCTAGGGAAGTACTCCCTGCTCACTACAATATTTTTGCCAGGATAATGATTTATGAATATTATTAATTATTATTAGTATTATTATTATTATTATTATTATGAACATTATCGCCGCTACTGGTGTGAAGGCAACAAGACTGAACATTATTTTGAAATAAATATTTAAAATATTAATATATTATAGAAATAATAATAATAATAATAATAATAACAATACAATTTATATACATAATATTATGAATTCAAACATTTTCGATTTGTTTTCCGCCGCACGCCTGACGAGTGACGACAATAGTCACAACAATAGTCGCAAGTTGCAACATGTTACGACAGAGTATAGGAAGGATCCAACCGGTACCATTTTGAGGTTTTATGTGCTAAAACATCAAAACATACCGTCTGGAAAGGCTCTTAGCACATTAGTTTCTCTAAGCAAAGCTGCTTGGTTAGTCATTTATCAATTTGATACAAGTTTTGAATTTTTATTGTTGATTTTAAAACTTTTTATTAATGGAGTGGAATAACGAAAGAGTGTTAGACCTCATAGAGGCTTATAAAAATAAACCAGTATTATGGTATCCAAAGGATCCAAAATATTATAATAAATTTGCTAAAGCCGATGCTTGGGAAGAGTTGGCCACACAAATGAATTCAACTTCTGATGAATGTAAAAAAAAAATGACCAGCTTGAACGCATCATTTCGACGTGAAAAAATGAAAATAAAAAGTAGTCAAGGAACTGGCACAGGTAATTATAAAATATTATTAACCATTAAAAATGCTTTAATTGTTATTGTTGATTATAATTGACAACAATTAAAAATAGTATTAAGATTATGTATACAAATAATAGTTCAAGTATAATACTATTTTTTACTAATAAAATAATAAAAAAGTTATATATTATATCATATGACGTCTACATTGGAATACTTAACTCTCGTAAACTATAGGTACAAAAAACATATGATGTAATAAATAATAATCTTATTTTACGTTAAACTTTTTTCTTAAATTTAAATAAGAACAAAATAGTACCTACAGTTTTATGGTATTATGGTTGTATCAATTAGTTTAGCACAGGTAAATTGCTTATTAATTATTAAAATTATTCTTACCTACATAATATGTAGGAATATTATTCCAAAAAAGATTTGTAATATTATTATTATTTATTTAAAATATGTTTTTGATTATTTTATTCAAGGAAGAGATGAAGTTTACGAAAGTTCATGGTTTGCTTTCAAAAGTTTGGCCTTTATTATGGATAAAGATAATCCTCGACCTACACTCAACACTGTAAGTAAAAACTAAAAGATGATATTATTTCAATTTTTAACTTGTAAACATTATTTTCCAACCAATTTAGTACATGATCATTATTTATTAGTTGTAGTCTATTTTATATAATAATAATTTAAAAAAATAATAATCAATAATAACAAAAAATATTTATGCATAATCGCCTTGCCATGGAACTTTTCCTTCATTTATAAAATAATCTGCGATTTCATCTCGAAGTTCTTTCACATCTAACGCTGATCTACGAGGCAAGTTCCGGATTGATAACAAAGATGTTAAATTATTATTTTCTGATCTCCAATTTCCTTCAATGATCTCTCCGTCAACCTCTCTGTCAAACGAGCCATTCGGTGTATAAATGTTTACGGAGCTTGTACTTTTTCGTAAGAAATTATGAAGATGTGCTACAGCCATTACAACGACCTCTGCTTTTTCGGGTTCCAATAGCATAGGTTTCCGTAAAACGCGAAATACTGATGATGAAATCCCGAAAACATTTTCCACGACACGCCGAGCCCTGCATAGACGGTAGTTAAAATGTCGTTTAACCGAACCTTTGGGATGTAAACCAGAATAAACTTTCATTATGTGTTCATTGAGTGGAAACGCCTCATCGCCAATCATAAAATAAGGGACTGATTTTTCTCTTCCTGGTAATGGTATTGGGGCCGGTAGATTCAACGACGAATTTTCAATTTTTTTATATAATTCGCAATTTTTTAATACTCCACCATCAGAAATTCTGCCTTGACATCCGGCATTTACGTACATAAAATTGTAATTGGAATCAACTAATGCAAATAAAACAATACTAAAAGCGCCCTTGTAATTGTAAAATTCGCTTCCACTGTTAAATGGAGCTTGTAGGACTACATGTTTACCGTCCATTGCGCCTATGCAGTGAGGGAAGTTCCAACGACTTTCGAATCCTTCCGAAATGGCTAGCCAGCCTTCAGATGTAGTAGGAATCTAAAATTTTAAATAATAATCTACTGTAGCAAATAGAAAACTACATAGCAAATAATATACATACTAAAATATAAAATAATAATTTTTAAGTATTGTTACACACTTACACCATTAACATCTTCATCATATTTTAATACTATTTTGATATCATATAAAATTATTGTATTAAGCCTAAACTTTTAGATTCTGAGGGGAGCGATGAATGTATTGATTTTATGATGTTGTGTGTTTTATTTATTTATTTATTTATTTTTTTTGTGCCTGTGTACACGATAAGTTGTCAAAATAATGCTTCGATTTTCAACTTCAGTAGCTTTTCCTGTTGGAAAGTGAATCTAGTTGGTGCATTAGGGAGGTAATTTTTTGAAATGCCCAATAGTTTTCAAAAGCACCGGGAAAAACCAAAAAAAAATTAAGGAAAAACGGGAATTTTTACGTAAAATCAATTTTTGAAAAAATCGATTTTAGATATTGGTGTAACTCTAAAAAAAATTATCGTAAAAAAATTAAATTTTCATTGAATGTTTATATATGCTTTTTATATACTTGATAACATTTTCAAAATATTTCAACAATTGTTAGCAGTTGGAAAACATTAAAAATATATAGGCACGTTTTATTAAAATAATGATTTAAAGTTAAAATTTTGCCAAAATGTATTTAATTGAAAATTTATAAATTCTTCAGTTGTTAAAAGTTTAAAAGTTAATAAAACGTTTAAATTTTATAGCTAAGGATTGAAAATTTAAAACAAGGTTCTACATAAGTAGTTAATTCTACTGCAAAAAAAAGATAAAAACTATTTAAACACAGTTTTTTATAGTTATTTTAATACAAATTTGGATGAAATTACCAATTAAATAACCAAAAATAACAATTTTAGCCATATTACTGTAATTTAAAAATATTATTTGTGGGTACTTTAAATTGTATATACCTACTATGAATAACTGAGTGAGTTGGGTTATTGCCTTATTTTGTAAATGAATCTAATTAGATTAATTTGGAATTTATTTTATAGGTAGGTATCTACATTTTAATATAATTAATATAGTATAACAGTATAAGAGTATAATATATCCCAGACTGACAAACCGTCTCAACTCAGAATCGTGTTTTGTATACAATGATATTATATCGTTGAATTCAAATTTAATACCATCCATTACAGTCACCCACTTGGCCACTTGTACAGCAGAGCCACATTCACTATTTACCTGCTTTTTTAAAATGTAATTTAATCATTTTTTTTTCAATATATTGAATTCATATTTTTAAGGAAGTATTTATTCATATTTTATAATTCAAAAATATGATATTATTGTGTACGAAAAACGTTTCTGATCTAAGACGGTCTGTCAGCCTATATTTACAAAGTATATTAATATTATTTCTAAGTAATATTTTGCTATTAATAGTACAGTACCTATATATATTATAGATTTGTTGGTTACTGTATTAAGTATTAACTACTATGAGAAAGCTCGTTTTGAATTTTAAATTCTTAGCTATTAGCTATATTTATACAAATTAAATTTTTTATTTTATTTTCATGAATTTTTTCAATAATACTCAAATTTTTAAATTTTAACCTCATAAAAGTGTGAACTAGATCCTAATTGCTACCTGAAACAGTGAAACCACCCATACAGTTAAAAATCGAACCATTTTTTGCACTACTTTTCAGATTAGAAAATTTAGATTACAACAATTAGATGAGACATTTGAGACATTATACATGCATGAATTTCACATATTAATAAATGCATCAAAGATAAACACACTGTTTAAAAAAAAATTGATAAGTTTTTAAATATTTTATTTCTTCATGGCGTACCTATATTTCAGATCATTGAAGAACAAATAACCACTGCAGACGAAATTCTTGGAGATGATTTGTTGCGCACCAATGTATCTGAAAGTCTTAATGACACTTCTATCACCACAAACACATCGGATCATACACCATCTCGTCCAAAAAAAAAAAAAAAATCGAACGCTGACATGGACGCTGATTTAATGCTGGATCAAGCGTTTTCAATATTAACTGCTGCGGCAAAACCAATTGAAGAAAGTGAAAGCAGCGCATACTCAAAATATATCGAACAAAAATTAAATAGTTACACTCCTCGGACGAGAGATGCTGTCCAGCACGAATTCAGTAATATTATATTTAAAGCTAGCCAAGGGTTTTATGAATACAATAATTATCCAACTGTTCCGACTTATAATATGAATGATGTATTATATCCTCCTCATTCATCACAATTATTAGCATACGGACCCAATACATTGCCATCTAACTATAATAATTCTAGTGCTTCGCCTTCTACGTCTTACACTAACCAGAGTCTTTCTCCTTCCACTTACGATCAAAGTCCTCCACCTTCCACTTCCGATCCTACCCCTTCGCCTTCTATTTACAATTCAATTCCTTCGCCTTCCACTTACAACCCTAAACTTTAACTTACTGATTATGATCTTCGTAAAGTCAATATTAACATTTAACAAATGTTTAATTAAATTTATTCAATATTATTATTATTATTTTTTTTTTTATGAAGGATAAGTTTTCGTGTCCAGGCTGAATTATTTAACATAAGTACCTAATAGTACTTATTCTATGATATAAACATTATTATTTTATTATTTTTTTTACAAATAATAGTTAAGTAAATGAAAAAAAAAATTACAAAAAGTTTATATAATTATGATTTATGATCAATATTATTATTATTATTAGCAATGACTATGGTTAAACAGAACATTTTTTTTATTTATATTATATTTTATAACATGTTCTATATTATTTTAAGAGGTGTTAAAATTAAAATAAAAGTATGTATTATCATATTATAAAATTTGTACCTGTATATTTTCTTTTAATTCTTCTACAATTGCTTGACATACTTCTGGAATAATTTGTCCAATAATTTGTTTTGAAATTTTAAAAAGGTACTGTAAACTTTGGTATGATTCACCAGTTGCCAAAAACCGTAATGTGACGGCCAACCTCTCCTGTACTGGAATTGCTTTCCGAAAATTAGTGTCTTGTTTTGAAATTTTTGGTCCGATCAAATTAATTAAGTATTCAAAATCAGTAGAAGACATCCTTACAAAATGTCTGAACTGCCCACTCATTTCCTGTCGCCGAAGAGTATTTAATAAATCTGACCCACTAAAAATGTCCCTTGAATTATACAAATTAGTTTGCCACCATCTTCTTTCACTTTTTTTCTGTTTTTTTTTATTTTTTAAAATTCTATGAATTAGAATAAAAGATGCACTGGCTAATTGTAAATTAGGCATTATTTCACACGTTGTTACACCAGGACAAATAGTGAAAAACTGATGGATAGACCGGCGAACAGCCGATACACAGTAGCGCTCGACTCTAAACGTACACACCGGTCGTTGTAACATTGTAACATTGTAACAGTCAAGCGAGCACGAATTCTGTTACATTACAGCATTACATTACACCTAAATGCTCCAGTGTGTACCCGCCTTAAACAAATGTAACGCCGTAATGTAACTGTAATGCTCAAGTGTGTACGGTGTTACTGTAACATTCGCGCGTGCTCGGCTCGCGACGCCGTCGATCCACCCGAGTGTCGGTATTTTGACGAACATGAAAGGAATGTTACATTACGACACGACCCCAGTGTGTACGGTAAAGGTGGGTACACGCTGGAGCATTTTGGTGTAATGTAACGCTGTAATGTAACAGAATTCGTGCTCGCTTGACTTTACAATGTTACAATGTTACATGACCAGTGTGTACGGTAGAGTCGAGCGCTACTGTGTATTTAGTTGTTCGTCGGTCTATCCATCAGTTATTCACAGTTTGCTCTTGAGATAGTTCACATCGTGTGCAATGTCTTCTAGAATATCTTCTAGAAATTTACAAGTCGCTAACGCATCATTTATTTTAATTCATTCTATTTAAAAAAATAAATAAAAAAAAAAAAAAGTGAAAGAAAATGGTGGCAAACAAATTTAATGAAGTATAGAGACATATATAGTGGATCAGATTTATTAAATTGTCTTCAGGAACAGGAAATAAGTGGACAGTACAGAAATTTCATTAGAATGTCGTCTATTGATTTTGAATATCTTATAAATTTGATCGGTGCAAAAATTTCCAAAAAAGAAAGATTGGCCGTTACGTTACGATTTTTGGCAACTGGTGATTCCTATCAAAGTTTGCAGTATCTTTTTAAAATGTCGAAACAAGTCATTGGACAGATTGTTCCCGAAGTATGCCAAGCAATTGTGGAAGCATTAAAAGAAAATATACAAGTATGTATGCATGTTATATGAACATTTTGAATTATATTTTAACACTTTTTAAAGTTTTGAACATAATTTAAAAACAAATCAAATATAAATAAATTTTTCCTGTTTAATTTTTATTAGTATTAATAGTAAAAATAAAAATATTATTGATAATACAAGTCCCTTGTTTAGCTTATTAATAATAATAATAATATATAGATAACAATTGTAATTTGAAAATGATATTAATAATAATAAATACCTAATAATGATGATTTAAGTCCCTTTTTTCTGTTTATTAATTATAATATTAATAAAATAAAAATAATAATAATAATAATAATGACAAATGTTGATAAATGTATTATACTGCAAACACTTATTATAATAAAAAAGAAATAATAACATTTTAAAGTAACTGCTACAAATCTTGTTTAATTTGAATACTAATTGTTACTTAGATCATAGGCATTATGAGTGGGGGAAGGGTTAGTATTGTAAATAGGAGGCGAAGGGCTAGGATTGTTTGTAGAAAGCAAAGGACTAGGAATATACGTAGAAAGTATAGGGCTAGGATTATGTGTAGAAGACGAAGGACTAGGAATGTAGGTAGAAGGTATAGGGCTAGGATTATGTGTAGAAGACGAAGGACTAGAGGTAGAAGGTGTAGGGCTTAGAAGAGTTAGAAGTATTGTAGTTAGAAAGTGATGTGTTGGGATTGTGTGAAAATAATTGTGGCATATGAAGAGGATGGATTTGATTATTAGTTGGATAGTTATATTCATAGAACCCCTGACAAGCTTTAAAAATTATGTTTCCAAAATCATGTTGGACAGCATTTCTTGTTTGTGGAGAAAAACTTAGTAACTTTGTTTCAATGTATTTTGCATACGCACTGCATTCATTTTCTTCTACGGGTTATGCCGCAGCAGTTAAAATCGAAAATGCCTGATCAAGCATAATATCATCTTCTGTTTTTTTTTTTTTTTTTGGTTGAGTTGATGGAGTATTAAAAATAATAGAATCGTTTTGGCTTTCAGTGGACTGTAGTACATCATCTTCAGGTTCATTAGACTGATTTTTCGATGTCAACTTGTTCTTCGATGACCTGAAATACACAAAAAATTAATTGAATATAAATATTGATTTTATAAAGATACCAACATCAATTTTTCCAAATTACATCAATATTAATAATTGTAATTATTTAAAAAAAAAGGGTGTGCCAGTGGGTGTCACTCTGCTGTACAATAGGTTTACAAGTGAGTCACTAAAAATTTGAACTTCAAAAGCTCATAAAAATTTTAGTTTGACTTTCCGGAGAAGATTTTATTTTTATAAAATTAGAGAAACCCATGAGGAATATTGTATTACATTTTCAAATCTAAGATTTAAAAAGAAAAACTTTTATGAATTTTTAACACAACATAATTTGCACATTTTCAAGATTTTTTACGTATTTTGTCAATATTTAAACTTTAAACGCCACTGATATAATTATGGTTAGGAAAATGATGCATTGAAAACCTACATTAAAGGCATTAAAATGTTACCAATAATGCTACAAAAAATGCATTTTAACATGAAAATGCTACTAAAAAATGACTTTAAAATGTAAAATATTTAAAATGTAAAAGTTCAGCTGATAATAATTTTAAATATCGAAAAAATATCTTATTAATGAATATATTTAGACGTTTACATAAATTAATTGTTAAAGCACCTAATTTTTATATCATATTTATATTTTTTTGTATTTTTTATTTACCAAAACACGAAATATATTTGTAGTAATTTTACATTAAATTGGTAAATGCGTTCGTAAATATTCTAAAAATGTTGAATATATATTTAATTAACAAAAACTAAAAAAAAAACCTAAAAAACTGACTCAATAGAACCAAAAATACAATTATTCACGAATATCATAAGAAAATGCGAAAAAAATTTAAAATAAAATAAACTCTGTGATGTATGAATTGGTTTTTGTATTCGATGAGATATGTCCTGGAGTGCTTTAAAAAAAAATGCAAATGGTACAAATTCCCGGCCCTAGATATAATACATAAAATTTAAACAATAAACAATTTGAAAAATAAAATTAAAAATGTTTATATTTTCTTCTATAATGTAATAATTTGTATAAAAATATAATATATTATTATTTAAAAATTTAGATTCCTACGACATCTGAAGGCTGGTTAGCTATTTCAAGAGGGTACGAAGATCGTTGGAATTTTCCCCATTGTTTAGGCGCAATGGACGGAAAACATGTAGTCCTACAAGCTCCATTTAAAAGTGGAAGCGAGTACTTTAATTACAAAGGACATTTTAGTATTGTATTATTTGCACTCGTTGATTCCAACTATAATTTTATATACGTGAACGCCGGATGTCAAGGTAGAATTTCGGACGGCGGAGTTTTAAAAAATTGTGAGTTATATAAAAAAATGGAAAATCACTCGTTGAATATACCAGCCCCAATACCATTACCAGGAAGAGAAATATCAGTACCATATTTTGTACTTGGTGATGAAGCATTTCCACTGAACGAACATGTTATGAAAGTGTATTCGGGTTTACATACCAAAGGTTCAGTTCAACGAAATTTCAACTACCGCTTATGCAGGGCCCGTCGTGTAGTAGAAAACGTTTTCGGGATTTCATCTTCGGTGTTTCGTGTTTTACATAAGCCAATGCTATTAGAACCCGAAAAAGCAGAGGTTGTTGTGATGGCTGTAGCACACCTCCATAACTTTTTACGAAAAAGTATGAATTCGGTGGACATTTATACACCAAGTGGCAAATTTGATAGAGAAGTTGGTGGACAGATAACTGAAGGAAATTGGAGATCAGAAAACAATAATAATATGTCTTTATTACCAATCCGGAATATGCCTCGTAGATCGCCGTTGGATGTTAAAGAAATTCGAAACGAAATAGCAGATTATTTTGTAAATGAAGGGGCGGTTTCATGGCAAAGTGACTACGCATAATTTTTTTTTTTTTTTTTTCCTGGTACTTATATAGGTAGTGTGTTTTATTTTTTTTATTATACATTTAATAAACATAATACATTCAACTTGTGTTTAACCTTTAATGCAATTGTTTTAAATGTTCAATTTTTAACTGCTATTGTAACAAAATATTAGGAACCTTGTATTTAATTTTCGAACTTTTTGACACGACGAATAACATTTTATTGACATTTATAGAAAAATAAACTAAAAAAAGTTGAAAATTTCCGTAAAAAACTTCAAAACAATTCAAAATAGTTTGAACATTTTATAGTGTAAAGAAAATGCTAATATAAACATTCAGTGACAATTTCATGTCACTACGGTCATTTTGTTTTAGAGTTACACAACAAACCAAAATATTGATTTTGCGTTAAAATTTGCGTTTTTCCAGGTGCTTTTTAAAACTACTGGGAAACTTTTACTTTTGACCCTCCCTCAAAATACCAACTAGATAATTTTCTTGTCAGACACCCAAAAAAACACACATTATTGTAAAACCAATACATTCATCGTTAAGCTCAGAATTTAAAATAATGTTATAACATTTTTAGTTTTCACTTACAGAGTCTAATGTAGGTCGTGGATTGTCCTTATCCATGATATATGCCAAACTTTTGAAGGCGAACCATATGCTTTCATAAACTTCATCCGTTCCTTATATAAAATAATACAAATATATTATATTAAATTGTTTTACAGTCATTCAAGAGTCCCTCCAGACATAATGTTAGTAAATAAGTGAATTTGTAATATAAATAAATAATAATTTATACTCCGGCCCACGAGAGTCCATACGTAAAAACGCGTCCGTCGCTGCGCATCGGCACGTTGCCGAATAGTGGGAATGGCATCATGGTGGGAGAAAACTAGACGTAGCTTATAATCACTATATTGATGCGCGGTTTACGTATGGACTCTCGTGGGCCGGGGTATATATTATAATACAATGTGCTATTTGTAGACTTGAATGAAACTATCCAATTTCCTCCAAAATAATAAAGTTATAAAAATGATAATAATAGTAACAGAAAAGGACGACGTGACGGTTCCAGTTTGTTGTATTTGCTTATTTTAGAGACAATTCACAGGTCAATGTATATACGAATGTACGAAAATTCCATCTATTTATAGCTAATAACAATCTTGTTAAGAGGCCGTTACACGGACATTTGTTGTCTCCGTCTTGTTGTCTCCGTCTCCGATCTTACATTTAAGTACAAGTGCGTAACAAAGCAAATTTACGCTCAGCAGATCACGTTTAACTCCGGTGGTAGTTTAAAAATTAGAGTGAATCGAATTATTATGAAACTCGATGGTAAGAACATTATCTGTGTTTGTACGTGGGTTTTTTACGATAACTCAGTTTTTAATGAGTTCTAAGCATTTTTAATTTACGCTTTATTATATACCTTACAAAATCTTATAGTATTCGAATAGGTTATCTACTTAGCAAGACTGGCTAATAATATTGTATTTAATTAATATTTATAAAAATTATTTTATAGTTACCTGAGCCAGTTCTCTGACTTTTTTTCATCCTTGCCTTTTCTCGCCGAAATGATGCATTAAGGCTGGTCATTTTTTTCTTGCATTCATCCGATGTCGTTTTCATTTCTGTGGCCAACTCTTCCCACGCATCGTGTTTTGCAAATTTATTGTAATACTTTGGGTGCTTTGGGGACCATAGTACCGGTTTTTTTTCGTAATGCTCAATGAGGTCCAACATCTTTTCGTTGTTCCAATCCATTTTTTAAATTTAAATTAAATTTATACAAATAAACCACTTTAAACAGTTTAAACTTTTAAACAGTAAGTTTTTAAACAGTCCTGTAGCGGTAGTGATCAGGGCGATTCGCTGCGCGCAACTGGTTACGTAAGTCGTAAATGGTCATGGATACAATATATCATGTATTCGTGTATATGCATCGTATTCGTGCAATGTGCATGCGGGTAAATATTAAATTTGATCACCGATTTATTATTTATCACTATAGAAAAATACGTTATACCTATATGGCTATATCGTTTATCTTTTTCATATTGAATGTCAAAAACGCACAAAATGTAAATGGAAATTTCTAGAATTAAAATACAGGTAGCACTCATATGTTATAGGACATAGGTATACATACTTTATGCGTAAATATATACCACCAAGACACCGGCTATATACTTTATTATAGATAGTACGTTAAAGTTGTATAATATGATTCCTTTTATTTTAGAAATTTGCTTTTAGTCTTAAAATTTAAATTGCTTTCGATATTTCAAGACCACTTTGTATAATTGAATTCTTGTCGTCTTTTAACCTGTTATACTCAATTTAAAATATTTTTCTGTTCGCAAAGGAACAAAACGTTCTTTAAATAAATTAAAACGAACTTCGTTGGATTCATTATCTTATCGAAGAAGGGAAGAAACGAATACCTAACAATATAAATTAAATAACGAAAGTTTTTATATTGTAACAAAATGTTTGTACTTATATATTCTTAACAATTTTTAAGGTATAGTTACTACTTATATGGCTATATTATAACACCACACAGACAACGAAAACGTCTAAAACATTAGGTACATTATAAGCTATTTTTTTTAACGTGAAATACTTATTTTTAACTTTAAATATATCGATCAAAGAAAAATTATATTTTTGATAAATTATATTACACAAAATTCTAGAACACTTTTCTACCATGAATTGAGTTATTATTGAGCACACATATTAAGCGTATTTTACAGATACGATTATTCGCATTCGACAA